GGAAAACACCTTTTTGTATGTTGGATACAAAGGCGATTGAAGGGTTCGGTAACTTTGGTATTGGTGGGAATCTATATTTATCTTATTGCGGAAAAGTCAAGCTTTCCATTGATACCAAATATGAGGTGGTTGAGCGAATTAAGGTACACGAAACGAATCGCTGAAAACACCGTATAATCGTAAAAATACGAATATTTACACATTTATAGAGTCAGAAAAAATATATTTTAAAATATTTTCTAAAATGATTTTCAACATGTTTAAAAGTTATTTATATTAAAAAATGGCTTTAGAAACCAAATATGTAAAATACCAGAAATACTCAAAAATTCATTTTTTCGCCGATTTCTCACCCGCACCTCCCCTTATGTGTTATTCACTTGATGCTACGGTTGATGATCTTTACGCAGTGAATGTTACTTTAAGTTAATCAATCAGTTAAAAGTGTTTTCACAATCAAGTCCGTCACACCGTTTCAACACACAGTTCATGGTATTGTGTTTTTCATATTTGTCCAGACAGTCGAGAATCATCACAATATGACATACATTTTTATCTGAGTTTAAAGTTTGCAACATATCAACGTTCTCGAAATAAAACTCATATAAACAAAAAACAAATCATTCACTAATTTAATTATAATAAATTAATTAATATTCAAATTAACGGTTAACGGTTTGTTTATATTTGTGTTAAGCTCGGCTCACGATGTGAAAATGATATAAAAGTGCTCAAGTTTAAAAATGCAAAAAAATGTTTAGAGACTATTAAAATACAACAAAAAGAACCCTTACATAATGAAAACCACTCGTTATAAAATGCACAACGACACAATTCATTAAAAATAATTCATATTTTGAGTACTATTCATTACATAATTGAAAATCACTCAATAAAAGACAAATAAAACTACAATACGAAAAAAATTTAAATCAAGCTACAATAAAAGGGAAATTATTAATTAAAATCAAATTTTAAAGAAATTATGTGATTATCACCCCTTAATTAAGCGACTATGACCCTCAAAAACCGTTAAAAAAAAACCTTCATAAACCTTTTAAAATGATACCTGATTGCTACAAACTATACTACTTGTGTGGAATTATTAGTCACCGCTGTAGAAACCTTTGCTTGAAAATGGATACTTAACCCGGTGGGACGATACGTTAGGTTTGTTAGGTCAGCAAAAAGATTTCAACAGGAAGGACTCATATATGCATGCTGTGTACGAATTTGAGCTAAACGTATTCATACTAAAGAAATAGGAACAATCTGCGGAGGCCTTAAAACAAATAATGATAACTTTTGAAGAACATTTAAATCATGCGCAAGGAATCATGATTCGTTATAGTTGTATGACTTTAAACAGCCCGATTAAAATGGAATTATTCTACTATCTATATAAAATAACCACATAAACTAAGTTAATGAAAAGTGTTTAATCAATACAAAATACGTGTTTGTCCAAATTATTCATAAGCTTCAGGAATATTTAAATACTAATTTGATATCAAACACAATCTATTTCTTATATTAAATATAAAGCGCCTCAAACATATTATCTGAAAAAAATACGAACTGATGGATTTGGTGGTGGTTTGAAAAAAAAAAGAAAAGAAGAATAATCTTTGGATGTCAATGAGAAGCCCTTGATCTCAAAATAAAGGAAGGTTTCAATCAGCACCGATCACTAGTTATCTTTATGTTGATGAACACTGTAAGCTAGTAAACACAATATATTTCTTATAATAAATATAAAGCGCCTCAAACATAATATCTGAAAAAAAAACGAACTGATGGATTTGGTGGTGGTTTGAAAAAAAAAAAAAGAAAAGAAGAATAATCTTTGGATGTCAATGAGAAGCCCTTGATCTCAAAATAAAGGAAGGTTTCAATCAGCACCGATCACTAGTTATCTTTATGTTGATGAACACTGTAAGCTAGAAATAAATAATGAGAACATATTCAAATGTTCCTTGTTCAGGTTAAGGAATTTACATAAAGAAAAGTTTAAAAAATAATGTAATTATTCACGAATCGTAAAACGCTCCGGCGTCTCTATGATTATATTTGTGACATGTTAGAGTTAATAATGTTTACTACTTCTTCTCCCCTTTAATTTGTATTACTTTGGCTTGATATGTCATTTATTGGGAAATAGATTTTAGAGGAAATTAGGCATACGGATGTATTACTTCGTTATACCGGAGAGATGCTAGAAGAAATTATATGACTTAACATTTGAAAAAGAAGAAGAAATAGGGAAAAACTTAAAACTGTGTTGAGATAGTAAGACATATATAGATAGACATATAGAAGAAGTACGTAAAGCTAGACAATGCGAAATAGATAAGTTGAAAATAGAAGCTTAAAATATAAAAAAGAGACAGCTCTAGCTTGGTAAGATAAGAATTAAAATGGATAAAGAAATTAGACTGGCAGAAATGGAGGCAGTACGACGGGAAACAGGGATATAAAAGCATACTATTATAACGACAATGGCGATGATGAGAGTACAGTCTAACAAAAAAAAAAAGATGGCATTGCCAGTATTTACCTTGAAAACCCCTATGAAAAATTTATTGTGAAGTGTAACTAGGTAACTTGAAGTAACTTTAGTGACGGCTATTGAGATATGGACCGTAACAACAGACCTACGCATGACTCTGACCACGAGCTTGAGTTGGTCTCACAACTTCATTTGCGGGCTAATGATACCGATGAACGAAGTGCTCTTTTCGCCGCTGCTGACGAGGTAGACGGCTAAGAAATTATTTAAATGAATGTGACAGTAAATTTTAAATTGATCTGATAGCTGACGTCAAAATGCAAAAAGTTGACTTGTTGACATACTACCTTTGTCGAAAGGGATGAAAATTAATCGTTTCTAAAAGTAGTCAGGTTACGGAGACCACGAGGTTGAAGTTGAGGGTTTGTTCCAAAAAGCCTCAAAGAAATAATAATGGGGACGCATATTTAATAAAGTCGAAGTCATTGGACATGACCTTAGGTCAGTGTTTCTCAACCTTTCTAGTGCCGCGACCCTTTAATACAGTTTCTCGTGTCGTGGCAACCACCCAGTCACACAATTAATTTCGTTGCTACTTCATAGCTGTAATGATAAGCGTTTTCAGATGGTCTCAGGCGACCCCTGTAAAAGGGTCCCGTGACCCCCAAAGGGGTCGCGACCCACAGGTTGAGAACCGCAGCCTTAGGTGGACGTATAAAGGGTATTGTCCCAGTGCCACAGTTTGCAATGAATTGGTAGTTAAGAAACGGGTTGTTTTGAAAGCAAAGAGAACCCTAATTTAATGTCTGAGGACATGATTTTTATTGTATCTTATGGTGAGCAATCACATAATGTAAGTCATGGTGTCGCATTGTCTGACTTTTTCCATGTTGAGGTGTTAAATGTATCTTTGGGGAGGAGGAAGGAGAGAACATTGCTGATTCTATTTGTGATGTAAATGAATCATTTAATATTGTGAGCAATGCGTGTTCAAATGTTAATTTTATTACAAAGACATGTAATGCTTGTGAATTTGTAGTTAATGGGAGAAAAATTTGCTCAAATTTTAATTCAACTTGAAGGACATTTGATGAAAATAAATCACAAAGTAATGCAACACTGGGGTGCTCATGTTTTGATTTTTTTCACGAAATCATGGTGTTTTGAGCCAGAGCTGCTAAAATAATCATTTTGTTACACAGAGCTGACATGCTGATGAATTACTATAATATGTAAGCAATGTTTAATCCAATTTTCATATTTTTAAGAGGGATATAATGAATATGAATTACAAAGTAATCTGAGCTATGGATGGTCAAATTTTAATTTTGTTACAGATATCTATAATAAAACAAATACAATAAGGTATTATTAGCCAAGGGTGCCCAGATTTAGAAGCTATTAAGATGAAAACAAATGTTGTATCGGTTAAAGAGAGAACTTGCAGCTCTAAAGATGCATTAGATTATGATTTTGTAGAGAAGGTGCGTTTTTAAGTCAATAAGTTTTGATATAAACCTTTTTTCTTTTTTAATGTTAAAAACGAACCTTTTCAAATGAGATATGAACACAAGTGCTCGGATTTTTTTAAAAAAAATTTATCAATTTTTTTGTGAGACTCAAAGTTTATTATGTAAATATTAAACTTATGTATTGTTAAACTCGAGGTTTATTTGACTTGTGACTATGGGTCAAAATACCAGCGAGAAGAATGTGAAATGATATATCATATTGTAAGGCATAGAGCTGTAAACTCTACGGGCTAAAGAAATGTCCCGCCATTTGTACAAGGAGCAAAAAAAGTTCGCTTATGTTGTTCTGAGGCGTCCCTCACGGAAAGGTGCGAGCGATCGCTATGCAGCAACACCTATGGCTAAATGGAAAGATTGAATGCAGAATGATCCTAATCTAACAGAAAGCACAAAATTAAGCTTCTCTTGGGTGTGTGCGCTTATTACCCTTCTATATGGCAGTTAAGTATGGGCATATTTGCCAGTCGTAAAAAGAAACTCAACAGCTATTACCGAAAATATTTGATGGAGGAAGGCCGTGTGCAAATGAAACTATTGTAGAGAGATTTGGCAAAGTGGGCAACACATTTGTAAAATGAACGCACGTGAAGCTAGCATATATATCAATGTATTAGAGATCATCTCAGAGCACCTTTCCAACAATGTTTGCAGCTCTGAAGACAAGGAAAGTAAAGTTGTAAATAAACGTGCATTTAATTTAAAATAACATTTGCATAGCATTGTAGTATGTCTTAAACACATTCACCCTCCTTACCTTTAATTAATTAATTTTTGTCCTTGTCATTGTTAAGCCTAGTACTTATTTTAACCAGGAGAAAGTCATTGTAAAAGTCAGGGGTGGGGGAAGAGAGGGTGACACCATGAGTTTACAACACTGATGACACCAACCCAAGCTAAGCCACTGCTTACTACTTATGAGAAAAGCTCCATTAACAGGAAGTAAATACTAGCAATCACAACTTTAGTAGGTGCATAGCATTTGAACATGTTTGATTTGTAGCAAGTCGAATTTCATGTAAGTCATGTTAACATTTTCATATATGTCTCATATAAATATTTACTAATGAATACAATCTTTAAAATTAAGTTTACCGAACCGGTTCAAACTAAGCCCAGCTATGCCACTGGACACAGCTTCTGAGAAAAGCGCCAATAGCAGGAAGTAAATACTAGCAATCACAGCCTCAGGCAGTGAATAGTCTTGAATCTGTTAAATTTGTCGACTATCGAAATGGTGTAAGTCATGCCAGCTTTTTAATTTATGTCTCAAGTTGTAATACACCAAAATATTTCTATGACCATTATACTTGAGCTGATGTATACGTCCAAAAAGTATACATTATAATATGCTTCTATTTTAATCTAGCCTATTCGTACAAGTGTTATGAATCGAACTAAATCTGTTATTTATAACATTCTACCATATAAAACTTTGCAAAGAAAAATATGCTTACTTACAATGTTCTGATCACCATGCATTTCATACTTATTAATATGTATTGTCAACAAACCGCTTTATATCTTTTTAAGTCTCACTATATCCAATGCGATCTCGCCGTCTTTTAAGTGTTTTTAAATAGATTTTTTTTGAAACCCTCATCATCTACTTGTTTAGTCTGTTCCCACGATTGTTTAATTAACTGCACGCATTATCACACTTAATAATAGTATGTTCTCTAAACCTGACATGTATAATCCGTACCTTTTAATATTATCTCACTCTAAACTCTTAATGTTGTTCTCTAAACCAGCTATTTTTATTGTTCCCATTAGTTATTATTTTAAAGGCAGCGAGCATCATTGATGCTGATTATGATGGGACGCCTTGGGATAAATGCGTCGCGATTATACACTATAGCAAAACAAATGATATTAGGTAAATACCTGGTGGTCATAAGGATTAACTTGTATAAGAAAGTGTTGATAAGGGACGTTTCATTACGGTTTTGAAAGTTATCAGAATACATGTTTATGATTAGAAACATGTATACAGTTACATTGACTTTTTTCTTTAGCAGTGTTTTAAAACTTCATGTTATATTAAGAACATATATTTCGATGTTAATTAATTGTAATCTTAAATTACCTGGTTAAAATAAACCATTGCTGCATTGGATAGTGTATACGTGTCCAGGTTTTTGTATTCCAAAATTGATAACCGTTGTTATACATGCATTCATTGAACGAATGTCTGGGCAGGATATCACCACTGATCTGTAGAGTACTTCTAATACTTTGAAAATATATTAGTTGTTATAGCATTGTAAGTAAACCCTTTTGAGTTATTTTTTCACTCTAACGTAGCCTAGATTTTGGATTTAATTGTGTTTAATTTTTGTAAACTTGTACCAACGACAAGATCAGCGATAACATAGTATTGAAACTTACCATACTAAAACAATGCTGGCGTCTACTAATTGAGTCATTTTTTTAATAACAGGATGTTAATTCTTTTATCGAGAGCATCTTAATCATCGGATTCTTTCAATGTCTGATTAAGTCTTTGGGTTTGCAGTTGTCTGATGGGAATGATTAGGACATGTAATTTTTTTTTTTACACAACGTGCAAAGCACCAACTGATAATGAACAGTTACAGTTTGCACGACATATCTTTCTCTCAGCAGTTGCTGTTCTGTTGACGTCCTGTTTTGTGGCCAAATTGTGTAGAGGAACTTCACTATTTTTTTATCCCTTGACAAGTCCCCCTGCGTTTCCTGCTCTTTTTAGACAAAGATGACACTGCACCCTTTAAGACTGCTTTCTTTCGCTATTATCTTTGGTAGGTTTTAAACAATATATAAATATGTATGTATGTATGTATGTATGTATGTATGTATGTATGTATGTATGTATGTATGTATGTATGTATGTATCTATCTATCTATCTATCTATCTATCTATCTATCTATCTATCTATCTATCTATCTATCTATCTATCTATCTATCTATCTATCTATCTATCTATCTATCTATCTATCTATATATCTATATATCTATCTATCTATCTATCTATCTATCTATCTATCTATCTATCTATCTATCTATCTATCTATCTATCTATCTATCTATCTATCTATCTATCTATCTAACTATCTATCTATCTATCTATCTATCTATCTATCTACGATAGCTATAATATAAAATATATATTTAAAATGATATCCTGATTAGCTTTTAATACAAAGAGTTCAATACATTATTTCATTTAACGATTTAAAAAAAAAAATATTTCACTGATTTATTTATAACGTAATATGTATTTAGGCAAGTCTGTCCTGTATCATATAAATACTAAGGTTATATAATGTTTTTTAATTAGAATGTTTTTGTTGATGTTGCTGTAGATATCACTTTGGGACAATGGACAATGGCTGGACGATCTCACTCATTTACGTTTGTCACACCAAAGATTGATTCTGGACATCAAATGTTGTGGGTATTACAAACCGGAATAAGAAATGAATCATTATTTTTGTGTAACAGTTTTTTTCAATCCTCATGTGATCCATATAGCGATATGCTTCTTGAACTCTACTCTGCAAACATAACGTCAAACTCTACCTCATATACAAGTATATTCACAATCAAAAATGTTACGCCATTTCTACATAACACAACTTGGTTTTGTGTTGAAAACTTTCCGTATCTTGGGCAGAAATCAGGAAGGTTTGAACTTCACGTTTTCGGTGAGTTGTAATTTATAAACAATTATAAAACGATTATTTTGAACTATTACAAGTTTTAAGAATAACTTTAAATAAACCAGTAAATTACATTGGTTTGTGTAATAATTTTTTATTTGATTTTTGTATTCAAATTAAGCCACTCCTGAAACTCCCACATGTGATTATGTAACACTACTCAATGAAATCTATCTTCAAATAAATTGTCAAACACATAAAACTTTTCCTGACACCATCTGCATATTCTATGTCAGATCCAATGTAAGTAGTTTTGAATAAAATATTTTGAAAAAATAATGTGCATTAAAAACAATGGAATCATTTTTGATTTTGTGAAACTCTTTCTTTCAGCTATAATTAGTTAGATGTGCGACATTGTATATTTTATAACATTTTAAACACTGTGAAATGGCGTTAACGCATAGGCTCGATACACATTTTTCTCAGTGTTAGCGAACGCTCATTCTGGATACAAAGCTATGCTTACTTCTGTACACACAATCCTACCAGCCATGTGTTGCTTTGAGGCGCTTACAGAAAATATTGTCTGTCCGAGTGATGTGTTAAAAATCATTCTTTTTTTTTTTCACTTTTGCACATTTGGTGTTATTTAAGCATTCAAAATGGCACCGAAAATTCAAATTGTTATAGAGGGGAATGGTGATAATGAATATGTAACGAGAATAGTGTATCACAACATGATATTTTTTTTTGTTGAAATTCTGATATCACCAAGAATTAAGATATGGTTCAATAATGAAGCTTAGCCCTGAATCTGTTCTGAAATTCACATCAAATATTTCCAACAATTATATATGTCATATTTTTCGAAACTGCATGCATAAGTGCTCTTCTTGCAAACATCAAAAAAATTATTTTTCTTTGAAAAGGAAATATAATCAATCAAAATAAGTACATTTGTCTAACACTCAATAATGCCAACTGCATTCTCGAAATACCCTAGACAAAATAAAAAAGGAACGTATTAAATTAACGTTTACATTGACTTCCATAACATAACCAGACTAACTTAAAACTTTCCTTTTTTTCATCCTTTACTGTCCTTTCAACAAGCAACTAAATATTTTATAATCGATTAACTGTAAATAAAAAAAAAATATTTCATTTTTATTCGCTTTTATTTATAGCTTGGATTTTTATTTGTTTGGATCAAATATTGTAACCCAATTTTATAATTGTGTCCTTAGATAAGTGGACATAAATATTTGCATGATTCACCAAACATTGTTACAATAAAATCTTACATTATCTGTAGGTCACTATTAGCTTTACATGACCTGTGACAAATCATAAATGTGCACATTTAAAATATAAAAGGTTTATACAGTCATAAAGTACATTTTTAATTTATAGTTACTTTATAACTTGAAGCTTGGTAAAACATGAAATGCACGATAATGCAATAAAAGGTCAATGTACAAAGAAACTAGTTGATCGAAATAATTTACTAAGATATTTATTATTCTCCATTGAATCGGGTTTGGTCTTCGTTGCTTGCATGTGGCTTGTTGATGGCCTTTTTAAAGTAGGTCTATGCTTACTTGTTTTAATGAATGTTACACGGTCTTTTCGGTCTCTTAAAATTTCACGATATGGGCTTTGAAGGTGCTTTGTTACCAGTTTCTTCTAGTTATAGTGTGTCGTTAATTTTAGATCAGTGTTTGAACTTCTGAGCAAACAATGTTGATATGGCTGGTGTGGCATTTCGCCTATGATAGGCTGTTTCGTTCTGTTTGGCATCCCCCTCTGGTTGAGAGCTATAGCTGGTTATGTGTGTTAGGTTCCCAACATGTTACATTAGTCACCGTGTAGTGGGAACAAAAACTAGTTTCATCCTACACCAGTCATGCTGATTGTACCCCGCACCTTAGACCAGGCCTCTATTATTGATGAAGGTTAGGGCTATACCGTAGTGCAAAATGTTAAATGATTTAGTTCTGTTTGTCGAGCCTCCAGTGATACGGAATGCAGCTGGTGTGCCTCTTTTGACAAAACTACCTATGGCGAATGGCTATGCCTAATAAGACTCCTTTGACGGGCCGCCACTTTGGAGAATGTCACAGTACTTGGCTCTGGGCTTTATATCGAGTGTCTGGAATTTCTCTTTTGATTTCCCAACGCTTTTGTGAATTGTAGCTGGTATGTTTCATTTAATGGGCCTATGCGTGTCGAATTATTGCTGATATGGCTCTTTTGACAGGCCCCCATAATTGTCAAAATATCCTTTTCAATACCAGGAATAGAAACATCCCGAATCATCTCTACTACATAAAGGAGCCAAAATGATTAAGTAATTTATCGTGTGTCTTTAAGATAAAGAAGAAGAAGAAGTACTTTTTCTAAGAGTAGTTTGCCAACCTATGGCCACAGAAACAACGCAATGGTATACAACTGTGTTGCTGTCGCCAATGATATACATTGCTGACCTGGCTTGTGAAGGCAACTAACTAATCACGAGGTGGTTAAAATGTTAAATTTCATTTTTTTTTTAATAGCACATTGCGTTTCACACTGTCCACATCTTAACAAATTATTTTTGGAGTTCACAATAGTAAACTGTGTCAAAAAGGAATTTCCCTTCTACAATAGAAAGTGTCAGTGTAGAAAAAAATATTTTGTCCATCCCCTATGACTATGATCTCAGATAAAAATTACGTGCATCCCGTATTTAACACAAAAAAAAAATCACTCACACGTATCATAATACAATATTCACTCCCTCGCTCACAAATGTACACATCTTTTATACCAAGGATTTAATAACAAAGCAGCTACAGTAATAAGAGAAGATTTATATTTATAATAAGGGAAATTTAAAACATGAAAACATGACAGCATAACAACCACACTTAATCTGACAGTAACAGCAATGAATTCTCGCATTTTCAATTCTTATTGAATTAATTACTAATTTTTTGTGTGTTTGATGAAGACTATATTCAACCTGAATGTTCCTGTATTATAAGTACTATAATAATAATACTGTTTTCAAATATTGTGCTATGTAGAATGCATCGGCTTACGAATTAAGACAAGGATCTATCACTTATGCACATGAGCTGAACAGTACTTCTGGATACTACAAAGCCAACTGTACTTACATTGTGTCTGCTTCAATCCTTGGACTAGGATCTCACATGTTCCGAGTTGTCATGTATCCAAACATCACATCAAATATAACAGAGGAAATGAAAACAACAAGTCAATACACTAATTCAATTCAAATAAGTAAATAAACATGCAATTTCATTTTATATAGAAACTTTCAATTTTTTTTGAACTATTATAAATGAATATCATTATTTTCTTTAAACTTTGTAGAGTGGAAATGCAATTTTTAATTGATTTATATATATATATTTTTTTTTAATTATCATTATTCCATAATAAGCCATAAAAAGAAAATTTGGACACGAATGAGGAGAATAAAATTCGCCTTAACACGAAAAATAAAAATATAAAAAAAATAAATACATTTTGTAACGCTGATGAGCTTAAATGCTAAATGTTAACAGTGTGTATTTACAAATCATCTGCAGTTTTAATATGTGACAATTTAAAAAAAAAAAAGATATATTATAATAAAACACATACTACGTTTTAGTAAACGTAATTATTCTTTGCCTATTTTCATAATATACACTATATGTAAGATATGTATAATTTTATCAATTATTTTGTACAGTAAACGTTACCTACATAACTACCTTTAATATGTAACATTAACTTTACATGAAATTGAATTAAGAAGTAGTAATAAATGTTAATAATAAAAAAAAAGTTATTTTGCAAATACTAATCTACAGATTTTCCAAAAGCTGTTCTTGGTCCTGACTGTCATGTTGGAAATTACATAAAAGAAAATGAAACAAAAACGTGTACGTGTTTTGATAACAGCACAGGTTTTCTACCTACACGAGTAACGTGGTGTTCGGTTGAAAGTAACAATGGCACACTAACGTTTACGGCGAAGAGACCCTCAAAAGGTAAGTAATAAACGCCATCAGGAGTTATATTGTCAGAAATGTGACTACCATTCTATTATTCATAAATTGTTTAAAAAAATTTTTTTTCATTAATCTAATTCACCAAAAATTATGTGTGCATATATATATATATATATATATATATATATATATATATATATAAACTCAAAATTAGGCCATTTCCCAAACTTGCCGAGGCGTTTGGCCAATGTCCAATGTACTGAAAATTGCCTGTCCTTTTTTTTTTTTTTTAAAATTTTTTTTCATTAATATAATTCAACAAAAATTATGTGTGCATATATATATATATATATATATATATATATATATATATATATATATAAGCTCAAAATTAGGCCATTTCCCGAACTTGCCGAGGCGTTTGGCCAATGTCCAATGTACTGAAAATTGCCAGTCTTTTTTTTATATTTTGACCGATCACTTCCCATCAAAAGAAAATGATTTTCTTTTGCTGCCCAGAGATACTACTTCTAGCTAAGCGCTATTTCTTATTCTTATTTTTATTTTTATACCGTTTGTTCTGTTGTTTTGTTCGCTGACGAAGGATTTCTGCCGACACGTTCGTTGTTTTGTTGCGTTTATTTTTTCAGGTGTAACCATACTCTGTTTTACTCATTTTACATTGTAATAACCAGATTGCAGTCTCTCCCCTTTTTACAGCAAGAAAAGAGACGTAATCACGATATTCCTTTACTTCATTCACATCATTGTCTCCCTATTCTTACTTGAATTGACTACAAAATCTCTGTTCGCTGTAAGAAACTTGTTTTCTGGTGGCTACCATCCTGTCTCAAATTCTTACTGTCCATTCACTCCTTCGACAGCTTCGTTTCTCCGCAGACACGTGTATCATTTCTGTTCCCAGACAACGCACTAGAACATATGGTGGACGGTCGTTTTTTTTCTGTGCCCCAAAACAATAAAATTCTCTCCCATTACACATCTGCAATATAACGACCATCACGGCCTTCAAAACTGCCCTCAAAAATCATCTCTTCATACTGTACTATAACGACTCATTCTGACCCCACTGACTGATAAAGAACGCTCAATTCTAATGGTTGCTGTGCATGGCTAGACAAGGATTATAATACTTGTGTGGGTGAGGTCAAGCTTTTCACCAAATGTTTTAAAGGTTTAAGTTTCTGTAATTTCTGACTCTAAAGTGAAGCGCGGTGAGCCTAGCCCTCGGCCCTGGTACTGCACATTATAAAAACCACCTAATTATAAAAATAATAATAATAATAAAAAATAAAAATAATAAAAAAGATATCATAAAGAAGAGATAAGTAACTAATGCTAGTTTGTTAACTCAAGGTTCCTAATTTTTAGAAGAAAAACAAAATTAGATGTAAAATTCCCACCAGCGACATTTGGAGATAATGTACACAGCCGTATATCAGATGTCGACAGAGGTCGCGGTGATCCACGAAGCGTCCTTGCAGTTGTTATGAATGTCAAGGGCACTTTCTAGAAACTAGAGAGAAAATTTATTTAATTTCTTTAGGAGGTCGAATTGCTTTCCTTTATATTACTTTTTAGATATTAAACATTTGTTTGTCATTTTAAATTTATTCGCATCTGTCAAATCCTTGATAAAATATACACACAGTCGGCATATGTTGTGTCTGAGAAGTTCAAGATATCATGAAATAAACTGCATATGCCTTTAAAAGAGGTTTAATAATACTTGTGTACATTTTCTATTTCAGGTGAAATGAATTTTCAATGTATGGTGTCAAACACAATTTATTATACAAATAAAATAATCTATAAGCCTAAAGTTGCTTGTAAGTAGATTCTTATGTTTTATAGTTATACAAAATTCTAGAATAGCTGACCCAATGTTATCGGGATACTAATATTGTGTCCTTTGCAATAGTTTGTAACTGCTATTGCAAAATCTGATCACAATTCCTAGCTTTAAAATGCAAAATCTATACAATGATATATATTTTCTAACATCATTAAGTTTCGTGAAGTATTTACTGCTATATATTGTATGTCTACCCTACTCCCTTTCAGGCCCCTAAACTAGAATTTTCCAAAAAAACATGACCTTAAATTACCCAATCTAAATGATCACTAATTATATCACTTTTATCGCTAAAGAATTTAATTGAAAGACGATATCTACGCTAGAGAATTACTTTTGATGTTCCCATTTTCGTGCCCGTGAATTACAACTTGTTTTCTCTAAAAAAAAAATAAAAACCTAATCTTAAATTTACAACAAAACTATATGTATGATATAAAAATATTTCATATTAAAGGAATTTGATATATTTTTATCTTCATCAAAACTTCAAACACACTTTTGTCTCGTTTTTTTAATTAGGCATTATCAGAAAATCTTAAAACAAAGAGTTATTTTTTTCTAGAAAAAAAGTATCTCACAACCGTTTTTCACGTCTATTACAGACTTGAGTGTACTTTTTATAATTGTTTATCTTATAAAATACACACACACTTTAATTTTCGCAAAGTAAAAACAAAAATATATTTTTATTTTTTTTTTTTTTAAAGAAAATAATAACCAATCTTAATCTTTTTAAATTAAATTTTCAAGTGTGTCAAATAATTGGGTTTTTATATTTATAGATATACATTAATAAGTGTGCAAACGTTTTGTTAACGCATTAGATTTTCTTAACTGGTAAAAATATGTTCATTTGTAAATAGAGTTTCTAACATCTAGTTTTTCACAAATTTAATAACATAGTGTTACGCACAGGCTTCTATTGTGAGAAATTAATCTCCTATTTTAATTGTATGGCTCGTTCAAAGAGTGCCTAACAAAGGACGCTACCATTGAGAAATACAATTACAAAAATACGACACCCAAAACAGTTGCCAATTACAATTAGTACGATTTAATTTAGTAATAATACAATTACAAAACAAAAGAAATATAATTACAAATCATAAACTTGCAGAATATCGGAAAATCTTGTACCGATACACACTTAGTACAATGTGCCAATTAATAATGATGAATGCGAATGGGCACACAAATAATAATACAATTGTCTCGTATATTAAATAATATTGATCTGAATCTCTTTCCCAATCTCTGTGTCTGTCAATATCTTTATATACGCAGCGTAAGACCTGCCTTCCAGAAGCTACTCTGCATTTGTTTACGTTTCTCGGCAAATCGAGAACCTTCAAAAAGAGACTAGTAGACAGACTAACCATGTTTAATTGGTAGTCGGTAATAAACGCGGTACATCAAAGAGATAAGCCACGCCCATCTATGAATGTAGGGTGTGCTAGGAATCTAATTTGGATTAAGCAAAGTTCACGCACGTGGAAATGTGTCATTACATAACAAAAGGATATAATATATTGTCATCCACGTAAAAATGCACACATCCTATTTCATACTTCCGATATGTATGTACCAAATTAGGCTAATAATTTATCACATTCATTCCTTTTTGGAGACGTATCTTTTGCTGCCTGGGGCCAATTGAACCCCTTTCCCCCTGCCTCCACAATTAAATAAAATTACTAAAATCTTCCACCGGATTGAAGTCCTTCCATCAACAAACTTACAATTTTCCCTTTATATGGTTTCTTCTTATTTGGATGAATTATAAGTCGATTATTGAATGATACGACTATTGAGTTTCGCTGCAGATTGACTTAAACAGCATTTTCTTAATAGAAGTATATTTAAAGATTACGTTTTTATTAGGATATAAAATTAATAAAAGTATGTTTTGGAATAAATAAAGGTAAAACTTATTCATTGTTAAAATACAAAGCTATAATTTGTGTGTTTTATAAACAATTTAAAAGCAATCAATTCTATTTATTAATTTACTTTTAAGAAGGGGGAAATACGTTATAACTTTTGTAACGCGCGATCAAAGAAATTGAAGAGTTTTTGCTAGCATAGGCGATTCTCGCTATGACGTCATTTTGCGGGTTAATTTAGAACAAATCAATTTTAATTTTATTTCGCAATATTAACAACATACTAATATATGCAATTACAACAAATAATGTTTGGGTTTTTACGATAAATGTGATTACGATATAATTCTTAGATGATATTTTTAAGATTAAATTGTGTGTTCATAACTTTTAAATTCAGTTAAAATGCTTAAAATTGTTATATATTTGTTACTTTAAATGTATTTGTCATTTATCATAATAAAACTTAAAATGTTGCATAAAAATCAAATCGGACATATGTCATATTTTTTAAAGTATGTAAATTTTTTGATTTCCTTAAAATAATAAAACATAGCTATGCGTAATATGTTTTAAGAATTCGAACGTATCAAAATTAGTTTCTGTCTTTTAGCGTTATGTCAATATAGCTCATTCTTATATTTCTTATATATATAACTTATAATATAAAATTTATAGTGATTTGTCATTTTTATCTGTCAACAATTTTACCAAGTATGTAAAATTACTTTATGATATATGAATACAACGATTAACTTTTTGTGTGTTTGTGTTTTAACTTTAGATCCTCCACTTATAAACCTGACACTTTTAAATTCAGAACTGGATATATGTTTGGATTCAAACTCTGATATCGTTGGAAACTGTTTTGTCAGTGATGGTTATCCAGAATCTACAGTATCCATATACATAAACAATATTTTACTCAATTCAAGTCATGTTTATGATACGATGAACAACACATTCACCTCTGCTTACAAAATGCCCGGTGTGGTCAACGTTACATGTCTGGCTTACAATACTGAATATTCTTTAAGCACAACCAGAAATGTCACTATCAAAGGTAATATTCAAGAAACTTATTAAACGTTTGCATAAGATTCAATAGAGTATAACAATAATTAGTACTGAAAAAATTAAAAGTACTAACACATTAAAAAAATATGATTTGAATTTATATTGAAAGATCATTGGAGATAAAGTTAAATAACATAATTTAAGGAAAACATTTCTCCCTTCCCAGGACCACCAGAAGCTCCGAATGTATTCGTACTTCTTAGGCAAGATACCGCTTCCTCCGCTGAGATTACCCAACAAGCGGTAATCATGTGTCGGTCTAGAGGAGGTTTTCCAACATCAAAGCAACTGTCACTTAAGTGCGGCACAGTGGAGGCACAAGCTACAAGTAAGAACATGGGCAATTTATTGTAACTCAATACATTCAAATTTATAACAAATTATTCGCGTTTAAAATATTAATTAAAATACATAATATATGTGTATCTAATATATAACATGTGTATAATTTGTGAGTCAGAAAGGAGAGTCGATTAGATAAGACATTAGAATAAAGGGATTTAATTATTAATATTTCTTTGTGTTTGCAAATCTGTAGCTATAATAGTTTATTAGGATATACAATACATATGTTGTTTTTTTTATACATTTTTTTTTAATTCTTAACGCCAGTAAATGACTATCTATCTTTTCTGCACTGTTTTGCACACACAGCCAGTCAATAAATACGCCTGAAAAATCTTAAGCGTCTCATGTTCATTTGACATCATAGTACACCCAGTAGTTGGCTCGGAGAACGAAACGCAATTGTAGACTCTGTCTTTCTGTTACCATATCCAAGAGGATTTACTCCTAGACAACTTTGTATCCACCACAGTAGTGGCCTGACCAAATATAAACCAATACTGTTGCTAAACGCTGCACCGTGCTCGACATTTCGACTTAGAACTTGATAATATTATATTTTAACATTTATGTACTACATAATTGACCCTAGTTTCTGATCATCACTTAGATGAAAAAAATAATTCTTAGAAATATTTAAGAACATATTTTATTAATATGTATTGTGTATTTTAACTTTGTGATTTTCCTGTTTTATATTTAGAAATATTTTAAGCCTAGCATTATTGCTCATATTTTTTGTTCATCATTTAAACAAAAAACAAAAGAAGTTGTACGTGATTCAGCGTAAATAAAAAATTGATTACAATTATGAATGATGTAAAGAAATAAAAAGAAAAAGAAATTCTAAAGAAGTTTTCTTTCTTAGGCTTTATGGTCATAATTGACATAACAATTTCAATTAATTTTGTTCTTACAGATAGTGATACAGTTGCTTTGGAAGTAAATATAACAAGAACTCCATCTGATGTAAATTGCACATGTGTTGTTTTACATGAGTCAAAATGTCTACGAAATACGACTACCAAATTCCTAACATTATACGAGCACATATGTACATAGTATAGTTTATGATTTAAACAGAAACGTGTAAAACTATTTTTTTTTTTTATTTAGCTTAATATTTAATATTTCTTTAATAAAGTATATGAATAGCAATTTTTTCATGGCTCCTGGCTGTGAACGAAGCCTATTTAGATTTTTTTTTAAAAATTGCGTTCCCCCCCATCCAAAACTGCAAATAAGAGGATAAATTAATTTTACGACTACCAAATTCCTAACATTATACGAGCACATATGTACATAGTATAGTTTATGATTTAAACAGAAACGTGTAAAACTATTATTTTTTTTTATTTAGCTTAATATTTAATATTTCTTTAATAAAGTATATGAATAGCAATTTTTTCATGGCTCCTGGCTGTGAACGAAGCCTATTTAGATTTTTTTTAAAAATTGCGTTCCCCCCCCATCCAAAACTGCAAATAAGAGGATAAATTAATTTTCAGAACACTGATACTACGTTTAAAATTAATATGTTTTTACAAAATAATTTCTATATTATGATTGAGTGAAACAGCAAATAGTTTTTAATCCATATATAAAATTGTAAGTTCACCTATTTGCAATCCTCTGATTTCCAATTATTTTTTTTTTTGAAAAATCACACTATGTAAAATTGATGCAAGGAATTATTTACTTTTTTCTTTATTATCACTTATTTCACTTAAAACGCTTTGAAATTATATTCAATATTTTACTTGGGGGCATATTAAATGTAAATAACTACGAGTTAATATAACATACATAATTGTATATTTCAAGTTTGCTGAATAATGAAATTAAAATAACTTTTCATATAGCGTTTTATTTATGGAAGAAAGGAATTAAAATATAAAACAGCCAAAAAAAAAAGTATTTTCCCCTCGTATATAACTAAAGTATTGTCAAGTTTAAAATTATAATTGTAAAAATATGAGGTTTATATACGTTTAGTAACAGAGAAATGCAAAAAAAAAAAAATAGAAACCAATGATCATAGAAAAAATGTCAACAAAAATGTAAAAATAATACCCCGAACCCTCCTCCACCCCGAAAATTAAAAGAAAACAAACAAAAACAACTAACATGGCAGCATATTGCGTAGTTTATTCTGAATACATGTGATTTTTCTAATGTTAATTTTTTTTTTCTTGAAAACGTGACACCCCAGCAGACACATGTCACAGCACTATAATTATACATTCACTCTAAAAGACTTCCTTTTTTCGGCTTGACGTGCACAGTTGCACCATATCCGTGCTGGCCTAGCCTACTTGGCAGCTTGTCAGCTGTTGGAAATTTGGTGTGACGAAATAGTTCGAAGAAATCAAAATTAACGTTATAGTTGCTGAACTGAATATTAAATTATCAAATTAAGGACTATAGTTTGTTTTTCTTGCTCTTGTTTTTTTTTTTAGAGATGCATTGGAGGTAATTTTTTTCTTTAAAATAAGTTATTATTATGTTTTCACTTAAATTTTTCTTAATGAACTTTAAAGAGAAACATTTAATACATCAATGCACCTTAAGAATCAACATAACACGGATAATTTAAGTTAGTTTAAAGAGTAAACCTGAGAACTCAATGAAAAAATACGTTGTTACGAACATTATGTGATCTTTTCAACGTTATTGTGTAGACATCAATGTAATTAATGCCAATGTAGTAAATTGTTTGTGCAAATAAAACAATCTATTATTCTAAAGTGACAATATATCATTGTACATTACAATGGTGCTGTACTACAAATGATAAGATTACTTATGTACATTTCTGATAATAGTTTTAATCATTACGTTTATCTATATATTTAGAAAATGTTATATACACAAATAATTAAACACGTGCCCATTTATTTGGTTATAAAAATGTTCTTATCCTTAGGGTAATTCAATTTTTATGGACGATGAATGTGCTAGGGACGTAAAAATCAACTAGTAAAATCAAAACCCACTTTGAGAGCACCAAGCTGTAGGAAAAAGTATTATATTTAAGTGGTCTCGATGGGTATAGGGTCTAGGTTTAGTCATGGAATAAACTGCTGTAGTCCTGAATTAAAATTATTTGACACAAAAGTAAGACACATTAGTTAGTCAATTTGATGTTCGTGTGATTCTTGGCTTTGAGAATACTTTGAGTTGAACGTTTGAGGGAAAAACTTAAAGACAGTTGAATAATAAAGTATCATGGATATGTAATATAGTGTAAACAAAAAATACGACTCTATGAAACTTCTGGCAAATGCCTTGTGATAACCAGTGGCATTAAGAGCGTTGATCTACTAAGAGGGAACAAGCTTATTTCTCGAAAAAAAATCGAAAGTATTCTGATTTTTATGTTTGTTTCTGAAACAACCACACTGTCTTATAGAATAGAAAGGAAACGAAGGCCTGGAACAAAAATATCTAACATGAAAAAGACAGCAGTATACTGTTACATTGTTGCCGACTACAACACAACGTTTTCGTTTCTAAGCAACAATCCAAACAAGATAACGGATTTCTTTTATCTTTTATGATTATAAACTGTTCAGATGAAAAAAAAAGAAAATAATTTCATCGATGACTCTATTACAAAGTGTAACAATTTTTTTTTAAAAAGTATGCAACTTTCTTTATTGTATGACATTCTTATCAGTGTTTAATTATAATTCCTCATGTCTGTGATCATACAAACAAACATTATCATGATATTGTTCATTCTATTTTTTATTAAAAGCGATTTAACATTGTTTACTTGCGTGTTCTAAATAATCTCCGTAAAACGAATTGCGTTTGGTTTTTTTGTGTGTCCCCCCCCCCCCCATTTATTGAAGCTATTTAGATATCTATTTTGTGGAAATATTGAAAATCGGCTTATTTGTATATATATTTTTTAATTATACTATTATATAAGCATTTTTCTTAAAATACGATTTCCTGTACTTTTTCAATTATCCCTATACCATGATTAAAATATAGTCAAATCTACATTTATAATATAAGAGTTATTGGAGCTAAGTTGCCGAGTGATATAATCCCAAGCATGTGATCTGTAGTTTGATCCCTACCAAAGACCTGGTCGAAAAAAAATTCACCAGCAGCCTGGTGAATGGGACACGTTATGTCTTGGACGGGAACTCATGTAAGAGGGTGGAATGTCCCATTTCAATATCAGAGATGGAAAACTGTAGGCGGAAAATATATTGATACAATGAAAGGCACTGACAACTCGTGCAATGCTTCTAGTGTCAATCTGTATCATACACGTATGATGTTCATTTGGGTAATTCAGAGGGCTGGCGAACTGCCGTATAGATAACCAGCTTATAATCCTAAACAAAATATCTAGCATTGTGATTTCGTCCAGCGAAGTCTACACCAATGTCCCATTGTGACGGACGAATGCTAGGAGAAAAAAAAATGTAATTATCTACATCTAATATGTGCATTTTTTTAAATATAATTCTACACTAATCCAGATAAATCCAATTTTGTATACAGATTACAATACGAACGAGATGCCGACTATTATAATTTAAAATTAAAAAAAAAAAAAAAAAAAAGGGGGGGGGGGGGGTTTGGGGGGGGGGGGTTTCCTTAACTTACAAAAAAAAAGGTAACATGTGGTGAACTTATTATTATTTTTTTTTAAAATGAAACATTTGTGGTCAGTGAAGTTTAAATCACGTATATTGGGGGGGGGGGGGGGGTGGGGGGGGGGGGGTTTCCTTAACTTACAAAAAAAAAGGTAACATGTGGTGAACTTATTATTATTTTTTTTTAAAATGAAACATTTGTGGTCAGTGAAGTTTAAATCACGTATATTTTAAGCATTTAAAAATAGATCGGTTGGTGGGAATAATGGGAAAGCTTTTCCTAAGACAAACGGGAAAATCCTGTATGACTAATTCGAAAGATTTAGTTGAAAGACTTATGACGTCAAAGCGTTTTAAATAACGTACTATTTTTAGAGCAATCATTTGATCGTGGGGCCCTTAAAATTTGCAAAGTATACTTATTCAGTAAAAGTAGTATTCTTAAGTTATGGGCTAAAAATACTGTTTAATGTCACGAAGTAATTTATAAACTTAATGATTAAATATTTGAACAAATTTATAATTTGTATCAAAATGTGTGGTAAAGTACTTGTGGTGAAGACAATCTGGTGAATAATGTGTGGTGAAGACTGTTTGGTATAGACTGTGTGGTGAAGACTGTTTCGTTAATAGTCTGTGGTGGAGACTGTGTGGTGGAGGTAGAAAACTGTGTGATAAAAATGTTTTAAGGACACTGTTTGAAGGACGTGGAGATTGTGTGAAGACTGTGTAGTAAGGTGGAGACTGTGTGGTGAAGACTGTGTAGTAAGGTGGAGACTGTGTGGTGAAGACTGTGTGGTAAGGTGGAGACTGTGTGGTGAAGGTGAAGACTTTGTTGTGAGGACTGAGGGGTAAGGTTAAGACTGTGTGGTGAAGACTGTGTGATAAGGTGGAGAATGTGTGGTGAAGACTGTGTGGTGAAGACAGTGTGGTAAGGTGGAGACTTTGTAGTAAAGTGAAGACTGTGTGGAGAAGACTGCGTGGTAAGGTGAAGACTATGTGGTGAAGACTGTGTGGTGGAGACTGTGTGGTAAGGTGGAGACTATGTAGTGAAGACTGCTTGGTGAAGACTGTTTCGTTAATACTGTGTGGTGTAGACAGTGTGGTGTAGACAGTGTGGTGAAGACTGTGTGGTAAGGTGGAGATTGTGTGGTAAAGGTGAAGACTGTGGTGAAGACTGTTTAGTTAATACTGTGTGGTGAAGTCTGTGTTGTGATGACTGTGTGGTAAGGTGAAGACTGTGTGATACAGGTGGAGACTGTGTGGTGAAGACTGTGTGGTGAAGGTGGAGACTGTGTGGTAAATGTGGAGACTATGTGGTGAAGACTGTATAGTGAATACTGTGTGGTAAGGTGGAGACTGTGTGGTGAAGGAGGAGACTGTGTGATGAAGGTGGAGACTGTGTGGTGAAAGTGGAGACTGTGGGGTGATGCTGGAGACTGTATGGTGAAGGTGGAGACTGTGTCGTGAAGATGGAGACTGTGTGGTAAATATGGAGACTATGTGGTGAAGACTGTGTAGTGAATACTGTGTGGTAAGGTGCAGACTGTGTGGTGAAGGCGGAGAATGTGTGATGAAGGTGGAGACTGTGTGGTGAAAGTGGAGACTGTGTGGTGATGGTGGAGACTGTGTGATGAAGGTGGAGACTGTGAGGTGAAAGTGGAGACTGTGTGGTGATGGTGGAGACTGTGTGGTGATGGTGGAGACTATGTGGTGAAGGTGGAGACTGTGTGGTTAAGGTGGAGACAATGTGTTGGAGAATGTTTGTTTTTGGCTGAAACAGTTATGTCATAAGCCATTGATGAAGTGGAGCTTTTTTTACATTTTTATTTTGAATCAGCAGAACTAATCACAACAATTGGACAAAAGCAGTTAATATGAATAGAAATCACAAGCGAATTATTTTTAACAATTTAGTTCAAGATTTCGAGGAAGACTCTGAGAGCGCATCATATTCTTATCCAAAAAATTTGACTTTTACAATCAGATTATTAAAAAAAAAGAAAACTTGGGCATTGTGTATCATTATTGTTTTGGTCATACAGTTTAATTCTTTTGTGAACAATATGTATTTTTCGATAATATTGCTGTGATGAAGAGCGAGTTCTTAAAATCTAAATGTATTTTGTCAGTGAGATGATCATTCATTTACTTGTGATGCGTTTAAAACATTGCCTCTACTAATACTAAACAGATTGCAATACGCGAATTGAAATTCTATGTCGCTTTCACATTAGATTAAATCCTTCTTAGCAAGATTCA